ATATTCTTATGAAAATGTTGCCAGGTTATTACTCCTATCGTTATGGTTTGCCCCAAGAACACATTACAGTTTTAACTCACAGTTTCGAGAATGTTAAGATTGTTTCGAAAAATGTGCCAAAGCAATTGAGAAAAACTGTAATATGCAAATTATGCAATGTATAGATATATTGTATAGAATGGGAATACCAGTTTATGGACATTTTACGCATGTATTACAATGCATAAAGTAAAATAGTATATCAAATCTTTCTGTTATATCTTTAATAATAATCATATTTGTACAAAGTTTGGTTAAAAATAGCCTGAAACCTAAAAACTGATTGGTGAATGACAAAAATAAAACATTGTTTATGCCTATACATGCCTTTTCATGTCTTTTTTTTTAAATTTTTTATAACTTAGTCTTGGCGTCCTCTACAAAGAATACAATATGAATAAAATATATTTAAAAAAAAAAAAAATTCTCCATTTGTTTCTCCACCCAATGTAATGGCATAAAAAACATCAAAATTCACAAAACTTTTTTTTATGGTTCTCAGGAGGATATAATACTTTTGTTGTAAAGTATTCCTGTATTAGCATATGTTGTTTCATTCTAAAGATGAACAGACAGACAGACAGACAGATAGATAGATAGGTATGTAGGTAGATAGATAGATAGATAGATAGATAGGTATGTAGGTAGGCAGATAGATAGCTAGATAGACAGATGATAGATAGATAGATAGGTAGGTAGGTAGGTAGATAGATAGATAGATAGATAGGTATGTAGGTAGGCAGATAGATAGATAGATAGACAGATGATAGATAGATAGATAGGTAGGTAGGTAGGTAGATAGATAGATAGATAGATAGATAGATGATAGATAGCTAGATGATAGATAGATAGATAGATAGATAGATATGTAGATAGACTGACAAGCTATTGAACACAGTCTAGAAGAATAGAATAGAATAGAATAGAATTAATTATGTATTTTTTATAAATCTTTTTATAGATTTTCTTAAATCTCGGAGAGATCGTGTTTATTTTATGTGCTCACATGTTCTGCACTGTTCTGATTTTGCCTGCCGGCTCATTTATTTCCCGAATCTGCATGCACATCAAACATCATTAGTTTGCAGCATAATCTGACTTTCATAATCATTCATTTCACCCTGCAGATTCCACTCTCCCTGCTTCTTTAACACAGTGGAAGTCAACAGAACAGGCAGAACCTTCCTCATAACCGGTGGAGGAGGTTATTTTGGATTCCGGTTAGATCTAATGACAACTTACAATCGTTCAATGTTAATTTCTTAGTATTTTCCACCAGTCATAGCACCCACATGAACCACTAGATGGCGCTACATACTATATTATAGAACAGCAATCCTTCAGCTCAAATTAGTTCAGTGTTGATACAATTTAGTTCAATAGTGTGAATGTTGCAAAGTTCATTAGTTGTGAAGCAAACTCCTTTAAAAACTATAAAGCAGCTCTATAGAAGATACTGTTTTTCTCAGTTGCTTTGCTACACATTTTTTATAATTTTTAAAAATGTTATATACAGTGGGGTCCAAAAGTCTGAGTTGACAATTACTTGAATTTCAGAATTTTAGAAATATTGCAGAAAACTATATATTTATTTCATTTTACATCATTTTTTCATTATACTAAATCTTACAGATTTTTTTCAGTATACTAAAACTTACACTTTTTTTTACATTTTCCCCACTGTATAATTAAAGGAATAGTTCACCCAAAAAAGAAAATTTGCTCAAATTTACTCACCCTCAGTCCATCCAAAATGTAGGTGAGTTTGTTTCTTCATCAGAACAGATTTGGAGAAATGTTGCTTCACATCACTTGCTCACCAATGGACGCTCTGCTATATATTTATTTCATTTTACATCATTTTTTCATTATACTAAATCTTACAGATTTTTTTCAGTATACTAAAACTTACACTTTTTTTTACATTTTCCCCACTGTATAATTAAAGGAATAGTTCACCCAAAAAAGAAAATTTGCTCAAATTTACTCACCCTCAGTCCATCCAAAATGTAGGTGAGTTTGTTTCTTCATCAGAACAGATTTGGAGAAATGTTGCTTCACATCACTTGCTCACCAATGGACGCTCTGCAGTGAGTGGGTGCCGTCAGAATGAGAGACCAAACAGCTGATTAAAAACATCACAATAATCCACACCACTCCAGTCCAGCAGTTAACATTTTCAGAAATGAAAAGCTGCGTGTTTGTAAGAAATAAATCCATCATGAAGACGTTTTTAACCCATTGCTTCCAGCTAAAATGTGAGTCCATAATCCATAATAACGCTTCCTCCAGTGATATAGTTGCCTGGTCTGAATCAGGAGAGAAATCTGCACAGATCAAGCACAGTTTACAAGCTCTAAACAAATATGTGGGTTGATTCTGATGTGAGAGACAACAGGAGATGGACTTTTTCACTGGAGGAAGCGTTATTATGGGTTATGGCCAGAAGTGATGGTTTCAAATGTCTTGATGGATTTGTTTCTTACAAACACGCAGCTTTTGTCTTCTCAAGACATTAACTGATGGACTGGAGTGGTGTGGATTACTTGTGGATTATTGTGATGTTTTTATCAGCTGTTTGGACTCTCATTCTGACGGCACCCATTCACTGCAGAGCATCCATTGGTGAGCAAGTGATGCAATGCTACATTTCTCCAAACCTGATGAAGAAACAAACTCCTCTACATAACCTGAGAGTGAGGGCATTTTAATTTTTGGGTGAACTATTACTTTAAAGCTTTATTGTGATTTCTCTTTCAGTCTTGCCTGTGCTCTCCTTAAAACCTCCTCGAACGTTGTGCTGTTTGATGTGAGACCACCAAGCCAAGAGTTGCCCGAGGGTATAATATTCATGCGGGCAGATATCCGTGACTACACACAGGTGGAAGAAGCGGTTCGGGGTGTGAACTGCGTGTTCCACATCGCCTCCTATGGGATGTCTGGACGGGAGCAGCTCAATCGAAAACTCATCGAAGAAGTGAACGTACAGGGAACAGAGAACATCCTCAGGGCTTGCGTGGCACACAGAGTCCCTCGTTTGGTCTACACAAGCACGTATAACGTAGTGTTTGGTGGTCAGGAGATTAAGGACGGTGATGAAAGTCTTCCTTACTTACCCCTGCACCTGCACCCTGATCACTACTCCAGGACTAAGTCTATAGCTGAGGTGCAGGTGTTAAAAGCAAACGGTTCGCCTCTGAATAGCAGTGCAGGTGTGCTACAGACTTGTGCCCTGTGTCCAGCCGGTATATACGGCCCCCGGGGAGGAAAGGCACTTGCCTAGGATAATTAGTTATATTGAGAACGGGATCTTTAGGTTTGTTTACGGGGAGCCTGATAGTCTGGTGGAGTTTGTTCATGTGGATAATCTAGTGTCTGCACACATGTTAGCTGCTGAGGCTTTAACTGAAAAGCGTCAGCATCGTGCCACCAGTCAGCCCTATTTTATCTCCGACGGAAGGCCTGTTAACAACTTTGAGTTTTTTAGGCCTCTGGTGGAGGGTCTGGGATACTCGTTCCCCACGCTTCGACTGCCCATATCGCTTATTTACCTCTTTGCCTTTCTGACCGAGATGGTTCATCATATCGTGGGTCGGATTTATAACTTCCAACCCCTGCTGACCCGTACTGAGGTCTACAAGACGGGCGTCACACACTATTTCAGTATGCGTAAGGCACGAGAAGAGCTGGGATAGGAGCCTAAACTGTATGACCTGGAAGATGTGCAATGGTTTCGAGGCAGAGGTCATGGGAAGAAGAGCAGCCAGTCATCAATTAAGAAACTAATTTTAGATGTTGTTTTGGTGGTTGCGTTTGCAGCAGTGGTGCTCTCCTGCCTTCCGGTTGTGGGACAGTGAAATGTGCAATGGCTTTAATTTCTGTGCCTTATGTGAGGTTTATACTGACCTGATTTGTTAATTTTTAAAGCATATGTTCATATTAATGCACATGAGGGATGTTATATTGTAAAATGTTGTAAAGAGGCACAAATAGGCTGATAAATGTTTTATTTTATTCCCACTCTTTGAAGGGCAGTGTCCTCAGAGTTCAGGGTAAACATATTTTGTGGATTTTAAACTATTAACAATATTAAAACACTTTCAGAAAAAAAAAAGAATAAAATTATGCCTTTTTTTGGGTAAAAACAAATGGTTAACCAGCAAGACTGTGTTTGCTATATGTGATATGTGATTTTTTTTTTCAGTTCAAATAAAAAAAAAAAAATATTTTTTTAAATTACAGGAATTTCTAAATGTGTTTAGTCTTTCGCTTGTTTACTTACATTTGATTAGTCACATAGAAATAGTGCACAATCTGAAATATTTGTATTTTTTAGGCCATATCTTGTAATACACAAAATATATGTGTCAAAATACACTGTATGGTGACGGAAATGTAAGTTAGTGACAATAGCCTTTGTCACTGATGCACAATGAAATGTTTGGGATCTGCCCTTCCCCCAGATTCAACAAACATTCACTGGCCTGCTGTACATCGTGCATGAAAGTACTGGTGTTTTTGAAGCATGAGTTACCTGTGAAACACAAGACAGGTAGATCTAACAAACAGCCTTGGACAAGAATATTTATTAGTACTAATTGTACTCCCAAGAATACAGTTGCATAGAAAGTTGCTTGTTGTTGCTTAAAGTTTTTAATTATTTTCTGTGGGCTGGTCTGTGTGGTTAAATCTTTAATCTGTCCCACTGCATGAAAGTGGACACACATAGACTCTCCAAAGGGCTTTTTTTTCAGGATTCTGCTCCCCCTGCTGAGTTGCTCTCTATCATTGTTTCGCTCCGGCATTAACCACATTCCAGAGCGCCGCAGCGCAGCCCGTCTCCCTCCGCGCATTCCTCTCACATAAACGAGTCCCGAATGAATCGTTTGATACACGCGTACTCGTCCGTCTCCGCGCTCAGGATCTCTGCTGATAATTGCGGAATCATCGGGGGGGGGGAATTATAGGCGAGTTGGATTCGCTGGAAACGAGTTTGCAGGAACAATCACGGAAAATCAAAGCGAGAAAATTCCTCCGCGCAGCGCGCCATTGACTGTAAAGACCTTTCAACTTTACAAAAACTGAAATTGACAAACGTTCTCTTGTGTGGAAACTTTGTCACGACGAGTGTATCGCCACAAATCGACAGGCGGGGAGCATGCATCGCGACGGAATGACTGAGAAGGACTAAGTAAGCGCGAACAGGCAACGATGGTTCGCCTGAGGCGACATTTTTCCGTGTAAAATGCAGTTTGTGTTGTAGTTGACTAGCGCGCCGCGCACTCGCCCGTTCAGCGTCCCTCAACTCGCCCGCGCGTCATGGATGAATATGAGGATCCGGGGCGCAGAGCGAGCAAACTGATGGAAAACCTCTCAATTTATGACGTTTATCAGGACGGGATATACGGGGAGCCGAACACCGATATGGAGAAAACGAAACGAATGAATGGCAGCTCCTCCACGCCCGGGAACAAAGTCTACGGCGCGGCTTCCGTGCGCTCCGTCAACGGGAACCGACCCTCAGTGCCTCTGGATTTCTGTTCTCCACAAAGGGAAGCGGTCTATCCTGATCCCGACGCGTACTGCACCAAATCTGAAGTTGCCTTGCCGTGTTACAGCGGCGCGTCGGAGCGTCTCAGGAGATACACGCACGCAGAGGTGCAGGGGCACCGGTACAGCGCCGGATGCGCCTACGACGGGCTCATTCTGGGGAAACAGGTGCCCGTTCCTGGTGCGAGGAGCAACAGCTTATGCGTGGCCAATCCTGATGGCAGGTACCCGGCCACGAGCCCCCGGTCCAGTTTGGCTTCGTCCCACTCGTCGCAAGACCAGAGCAAACACACCAGCCCGAGGTCGAGCATCAGCAGCCCGCGGTCCAGCCTGGTGTCCCCCGGACAGGAGAAGTACTGCGAGGGGAACAGCGTGATCAGCCACCGGTCGAGTTACGCCAGCACGGCCAGCGACACCAGCAAACACTCCAGCCCCAGAACCAGCCTCAACAGCTACGACTGCGGGAGCAAACCGAGCAGTAACCGAACCAGCGGCATCAGCATGGGCTACGACCAGCGGCACATCAGTCCCCGGTCGAGCACCACGAGCCCGCGCTCAAGCTACTCCGACTCGCGCTTCACGCCCGCGGGGAACCATGAGCCAGAGAGCGGCGCGGTGCACGGCGTCCCCGTGACCAGCCCCCGGTCCAGCACCTGCTGCCAGGACGCACGACCCGCCGTGGCGGCCAACTGCGTGGTCAGTCCCCGCTCGAGCATCTCCAGCCAAAGCTCCAGGAGCTCTCGGAGCTCCCGGGGATCCATGAGCGCGTATCCCGAGCTCCAGCTCCCCATGTTGGGACCCGGTTTGCCGGAGGACGCGCTGCTGCAGGACTTCACGGAGCCAAACGGCCTCCACAACAACCGCGTCCACCTCCAAACTTTTCCCGTGCTGGAGGAGCCGCAGCAGCAGAATTCAGACGTCAACATCGCGTTTAACTACGGGAAGATGGGCACCGGGGCGCAGCGCTTAAAGCTGCCGTACCAGATCACTCCATCCCAGGACAGCGGCCCCAGTCAGGCGGAGCGGCGCCTGGAGGCCCTCACCCTGGAGCTGGAGAAAGAGCTCGAAATGCACATGAAAAAGGAATATTTTGGTGAGTAGAACCAGGGTCACTGTTTGATTCACTTGTAATTAGTTTGTCTGGAGACATCAGGTCATTCCCCTTTGGAGAGAGCTTTGTTTTTTGTCTTTTATGCTTTCATAAAAACATGATTTTGAATCAACCTTTCTAGAATTGTTTGGTGGAAAAGTCATTCACACCTTGACACGCACATACACCCCTGAGCTAAACCAGCACAGAGCAGCCTTTGTGTCGGACTCATTAAAGTATCATTAGGGTGTGGGAAAACAGGTGTAAATCATGTTTTGTCAATGAATCAGTGTGCTTTCTAGACGAGGGGTTATACTTGAGCACTTTGTATATCTGCTTTAATCACATTATGATTATTTATCTTTGAGCTGGTTAATGCATCATTCATCCAGACTTTTTCACCCAAAGGCATCATGCAAAAGATGCCAAATTCCCTAAATCTGGATCATCTCACAAGGCATGCTGCAACATAGACTTAAGACACTGTGTCATTTCATTCATCAGTGCAGTTTTAATTCTCAAAAGGAGACTTAATGGCTCTGAATTGTTTTCTTTAATGATTAACTTTATCTTGGGTATCTCTCCCAATTAAAACAGACACAATTGAGTTAACAGTTGACGTCCAAAAAGTGTATAGAGCTATAAAATAAATCTGAATAGCAGCTCAGATCATTCGGTCTCTGAAGAATTTGGTGAGTGCGTTTACTGAGCACAGTTTGAGACATTGCTGAGATCTCTTTTGAAGCGCAGGACACAAATGTGAGTCTTTTTCTCAGTAGCAGGCACCTTCAGCAAACAAGACAAGTGTTTTGGTGAAACAATTGGGTAGATTTTGTAGAAATCAGTATTATAATCATAGTTCATGTTTGTTTGTTTGGTTAGTGTGTTGTTTTGATAAAACACAAGTTTTGCACCCAACCCAGGGGATTTAAGTATGTAGGTTGGTGCATGGTGCCAAATGCATACAAACTTTGGCTAAACACCGCAGTAACTGGCTCGTTTTGCATTGTAACCAGCTGATTGCTGATTGGTTTTAGTCACACCGGGCAGCTGCGGTAGACCAATCACAGCAAAGGCTGCTGGCATCCCAACTGGCACTGCCCAAAAAGGACATTGTAGTCAGTGAGCAGACAAACAGGGTTCTTAGCGGGCTTGTTTTTGGCCCGGACCTGGACGGAAAAAGGCAAGTCTTCAGAGAGTACATACTTTGTCTCCCAGTTTGAACGCCACTTCCTGCCAGTGTCCTTCCAAGGCCTGAACGTCAACAGAAATGTTCTTTAGAGGCATATGTGAGCATGTGTTTTTTTTCTTAGGGAAGTCCTAATTTGTGATTTGGCGGGACTAGTATTGGTTTAGTGGAAGAGAAATGCAGATGAAGTGCCTTCAAAGCTCTTTAAACCTTAAAGGTATAGTAGTCCACCCAAAAACGAAAGTTCTGTCATCATATTTACTCACCCTCATGTTGTTCCAAACCTGTGTGAATTTCTTTTAGCTGTTGAACTCAAAAGAAGATATTTTGAGGAATGTTGGTTACTAAAGAGTTGACGGTAGCCATTGACTTATATTGTATGGGGAAAAAATGCATGTAAGTCAATGGCTACCGTTAACTGTTTGTTTACCAACATTCTTCAAAATATCTTCTGTGTTCAGCACACTAAAGAAACCCGTACGGGTTTGGAACAACTTGAGAGTGAGTAAATGATGAGAGAATTTTCATTTCTGGGTGAACTATCCCTTTAAAACTCACATATTGACTAGAATTAACAGAATTTAAACTCATTTTTTTGAGTAATCATTCATGTCTGGAGCACAAACACTGCTAGGGATTTGTTCAACTCATTAACCTTAGGTATGAGTAATAGTAATGCTTGCTTAGCGAACACCACTAATAAGTATGACTTTTACAACATGTTCATCTTTTTAAGTAACACAAGCTTTAGATCGGTTGTTGTGACTGTGTCGCATTGTGTCATCGTTTGTGTCTCCGTAGCAACTGGGCTTTGTTTCTGCTACTGCCTGGAAACACATTTGCACAGGTTTAGTTGCAGGAAGTCTAGAGATGGAGGTATGAGTGTGTTTTTGCCTCCGAGGAGCAGGTGATGTTTTTTTACTGCATGCCGAACCCTCTTTAGTCTGCATTAGTCTGCACGCGAGAGCGAACCTTCTCCGTTACCGTGACAACAGCTCCCCTAAAATCAATCTCGCCGGGTATTCGTGATGTGTCTTTCTGCGCTCTTAAAGGGTTAGTTCAACTAAAAATTTAAAATCTGTCAGCGTTTTCTCACCGTCATGTTGTTCCAAACCTGTATCAGAATCTTCTTGCTGCTGTCAAGATCCTAAAAGGACAGAACTGCACTATAAAAGTAGTCTGTATTCACCCAAAAAGGGTCAGAATTGTATGGTCTTGCCCTATGCTGCAGCTCTTACATCTCATTTGCAATCATGTGACATGCAAGAACCAAGTCGGTCTAACTGACATTAAACCTACAAAACGCCTCCATGCACCAGATTTGTACATGCTCTGTGAGATTTGAGTGCTGCAGCACAGGAAAGGTTATCAGTGAATTATCAGAAAACTTGTATAATAAAATATATGCAGCATAATAATATGTATGGACTACTCTATGCATGCATTTATGGACTACTTTTATAGTACTTTTTTGAGCTCAAATGCCCATTGCATACTTATTTGTATGGAAAACAGCTCTGCTGATCATTGCATTTTGTGTTTCACGGCCAAAAGCATGTAATATATGGTAAATGATGGCAAAATGTTCATTGTGGGTGACTTGTGTATGTGTGAGAAGCAAGGTTTTTATTGTTGTTTTTATTTATGCAGAAAAGTTCTTCTGAAAATAGAAATCTTTTGTAACAATACACTCCCGTTCAAAAGTTTGGGGTCAGTAAATTTTTTTTCTTTCTTTCTTTTTAATGAAAGAAATTAATACTTTTATTCAGCAAGGATGTGTTCAATTGATAAAAAGGGATAGTAAAGACCTTATATTGTTAGAAAAGTTTTCTATTGTGAATAAATGCTGTTCTTTTTAACTTCTTTTTAAGAATCCTGAAAAAATAATTTGTATTTTTTGCTACAAACTTGGTGTAAAATTGCGAGCGATCACAAATAATGCACGACTGGTTGAATTAGCATTCAGGATCTTTTAGCGAGCGATTAGGCTGCCGTTTCAGCACCAGACTCTTGGCACAGACTGTTTGTCTCTGCAGCGAGACACAGCTGCTGGGGGTCAACACTGATCACCTGCTTAGAATAACAATCGCCTTAGTCCGCACATGTGCACACAAACACGCACAAAACACAGAAACACTCCAAAAGTAGCTTTGCTTACATTTGAGTTTCTCAGAGTATCTGTTCCTGAGACGCGCTGGATGTTTTCTGCCAGCGTTATTCGCCTGCTTTAGCGCTGAATCAGCCGACCTCTGACCTCGTGTATCCACACAGGCATTCGGGATTCAGGCTCTGGTTTAAAATAAACACAGAATGAGACTTTGCTTGCCGCAGTTTCCATTCAGAGAATTGTTTTTTTGCCAGAAGTCTAGCTGTGCATCGTTTTGATTTGGTGCAAAAGAAGTGCAGTAAATTTGTAATTTGGGTTCTAAATGCTGAGTTGCATGACAGTGTTGAGTGCATTTGGATTTTGCATAAATCTGTGCATGTTGTTGTTATACATGAAGAGGTGGCCCAAACTATGGCAAAAAAATAAAATCTCAACATTCTTCAGATTGTTTGACAGATTCAAGATTTCATTTGATAAGTACAACATGATTCAAGTAACATTCTCTTTATTAAAAACTTGCAAGGTTAAAGAAAGTTCTATTGCAAGCACAGCAGACATGAAGTGGTCGACATGGTGTGAATGTAAAACAAATTCACTTGTTAAATATCTTTGCAGATGCATGAAATATGAAGGCAAAGATGCATGAAACATGAAGGCAAATTACAAACTTTTATTACTTAAACACCCTGTTCAGAAATAATATAAGAAAAATGCAAAATATTTCTCAGCCAAAATTTAGGTATTCAGTTTTAGAGGTCAACTCAAAAAGTCAAGACAATTCAAAATTCAAATATTATTATTAATTAACTTCATTTATGTAGCACCTTTCAGACATAAAATGCAGTTCAAAGTGCTTTACATAATCAGAAATTACATCATCAAATATCAATTTCAACATCACATCCAATAAAATAAACAAATACATAAAACCTAAGGTAAAATGAATCAGATACAACACATCTAATATAAAATACTAAAATGTATGAAAAACAAGCATACAAAGTAATTAACCACAACACGTCTTAATATAAAATACTAAAACATATATTATTAAGAGTATAAATACAGCTTTCAGCCAATCAGCATCATGCAAACATGAAATATCAAACACACAGTAGTAGTTCTTTACAGGTTTCACTGCACTGCTTTTACATTGTTTTTTCTATGTAAATGTGCGCGTTTGACCGTTGCACTTGCGTCTTGTGTCTCGTGCACAAAATAAATAATTTTTGCAAAACATTACATTCGAGTTAATCTGAACAATCACCAGGCCAACAAGCCCTAGTCCAATCACAACAACCGAAATATAAAAAAGCAGCATGATCTTTGGCCTTAGGGGGTTAGGGGGTGTGCCCGAAGTGTGAATCCTTATAAGGGAAAACACGATTCCTAACACTGTGTCTACACCAGACGCGAGTGGCGCGGCCCGACAAAATACTATAGAACCACTGATCTATAATAGAGATTTGTTATATATAGATCAGTCTATAGAACTCATTATAATCAGTGATGCTGTCTACACTGGATGCGGCGTGACATGACAAATCTCCGACAGTAAACTGCTGCTGCGTTCTATTTATGACGTGCTGACAAAAATTTCAAATGATTTTCAACGGTCGCTTTGTCGCGTCCAGTGTAGACAGACTTTAGCTGATGCGGCGCGGTGCGACACGACAACTGTCGCGTCCGGTGTAGACACGGTGTAACGGTTCCCTGTTACATCCTACAGTACATAAAATTTCACTTATCACATAAACAGAGTAAGGAGAGATGACTGAGGACAATGGCGAATGATTTGCAGATCCTCAGTACCACTGACAAACATATAATCTTGTAAAATGTGTGGCAAGTACTGCCGCTCCATAGTATAAACAGAGTACGTGCGATCGCAAATCTCGAAAGTGAAAGTGAAACTAAAAGCAATCGTGCATTCAAAAGCAAAATGCCAGTTTCAATGCCAGGTATGATAGCGGCTCCCTGATGCCGAAATATATATGTAGTATAATTACCCAATTATATAACTGCGAGGAAAAATATTGAAATATATATTTTCCTCCCATCTCGTATTTATTCTCTTTAGGGGTTCCGCCTACACGTAATTTTCTTTCCGAACACGGTATTGGGATGCGGGGGGAATGTAGGGGATCAATCAATGTCAAAAACATTTTATTGTAAATTTCTAAAATTTTAGCTTAATTAAAATTAAAACAGAAAATGTTAAAAATAAAAACGAATTCAAAATATTAGTAGTAACTATAAAAGTATCTCAGTGATACTAAAATAACCCATATTTGCTCAGCCGAGGATGAAGTGAGTCAGTCGCACCGAATGACAACTTTGAGACAGAAACTTGAGCTGCCGTGTAATGAGGATTAACGGTGTTCGGTGTGATCTGTGTGTTACAGTCAGCTGAACGTGTTAATTAGTCACCGCTGGATTAGCTGCTCCTAACACTCACCTGAAAAAACTTGTTTTTCAGCTGCCAAATGCAAGTAAGTGTGGCATTAAAGGTCCCATATTTTACACCTTTCTGGAGTTTTGTGCATTTTACTGTGGACTGACTGTTTTGAAACTTATATGGTAGTTACATAGCACCTAGACCTCAGTTATCGTGAAAAAAGCCAGGAAATTTCAGTTTTGACAATATGGGACCTTTAAAGGTTGCTTCATGATAGAAATTTCTCAATTTCACAACAAAAAGCAATGCTCTATAGAATGCAGTCCTTTATGACAGTTCAGTATTTTCGCATCTCGTGTAGCTTTGCTGGAGGTTTCATCAGGTAATTATTAAAGCTTTTATCCAGCTATTGAAAAACCAAACACTGCTGTTCAACTCTATTGGTTCCATGCTGCTAATAAAAAAACAAGTGTGGTAAAGATGGACAATGATAACACGTGTTTACAGCTGATAGAGTAGACTATTAGACTGCCTACTGAACTAACTGAATGGAAAAACAATGATCAGGAAGACACTAAGACACTGTTGAAAGACTAGTACTGTTAGGGCTGGGCGATTAATCACTTTTTATATTCACTTACTGTTTTGACTTGCAACAAGATCATCAAGAAAATAATTGTTGTGCCACAGTGATGCTCTTGTTTTGTTTTGTGTTATAAATCCAGAGCACCCTTTCTTTTACAGCGAAGCACAACAACAGCAAAATTGGTCTTACTTATTTTTATAGAATTTATTTTTATATTATTTGTTATATTATTTTAATGTATTATTATATTATTTGTTATATTATTTTAGCTTATTATTTTTAAATTATATATCATATTTGTATGATTTATACTTTTATTTATTATTTTTGTTTATTATTTTATATTGTTTATATTTATTTTGTATATTTTTATATGTATTTTTTATATTACAATTATTTATAGTTTTATTTTTGTTTATTATTTTTATATTGATTTTATTTATACTTTCATATTGTTTGTTTTATATTTATATTATTTGTTAATTATTTTTACATTATTTATGTTATTTTTTAAGTTTGTATTGTTTAATATTTATATTATATTGGTTATATGTTATCTTTATTTTGTATATTTTTGTATTATTTTTATATGTATTTTATATTTAAATTATTTATAGTTTTATTTTTGTTTATTATTTTTATATGTATATTATTTATGCTTTAATATTGTTTTGTATATTTTTTATATCGTTTGTTTTATATTTATATTGTTTATTATTATTTATATTTTCATTTTTATTATTTTTACTTCTTTATTGTTTAATATTTATATTATGTTATTTTTATTTTTACATTTATTTTATATTTGTTTTCAGTTGTCCAGGGAAGTTCAGGAGTATTCACTGTTAAAAAGACAAGTTTTAAAAGTTCAATAAATGCATAATGTTTCCAAAGTCAACTAGTAATTAGTGTTAAATAATCATGATCTCAGTATTGACCAATATAATCGTGATTATGATTTTTGCCATATTTGAGCAGCCCTACATTTGACCTCTCCAGTTCTTGGGGTGTCTAGTGGCTGATTTAGTGTGCAGTCGTGGAGGTTTATACGCCACACCTCTCAGCCGTGAGCGATGTAGATAAAGCGAGCCCCTGCCGGGACTTTTACAAACACGATTAGATCAGAAGTGCCGGATTGTGGTACATGAAATTCCCTCTCGATGATGCTATAATTATCTTGATGAGTTAACCATTAAGTCACTGAGAGCTTATCTGATGAGTGCTTCTGTTCTAGAGCCTGTTATCACACACACAAATGGGTTTTATGTTAATTGAGCTTTTAAGCGAGGTTTTCTTAAATTGTTAAGGGCTGAATGACATCCGTTTTGAGATTTGAAGACAGAATTTCCCGAAACACTGAATTGAGTATCAGAATAGCTGTTGATGTGCGATGTGTCATGTTTGTCATCGTTCATGGTCGTCTCAGGGGTGAAGTGGTGTCCTGTCGGTGCGGTGACCTCTCTAGCTGTTGATCGTGGCTGCGGAGAGGAATGCGACCCCCAGCGAAGGCCATCTTCTGCGTGAGACTGCACTGCAGGCTTTAGTGCTGCTGACTCGTTCTCCCATCATGCCGAGCGCTTGATGTATAACTAGAGTGAACAATGATGAACTTTAAATCACGCCTCATTCCTGTATCATTTATTTATTTCATCAAACATATTTTATTGGACTGTCCAGCTTTTAATGTACAGAGAAAACTCTTTTATGAAGTGAACTCACTTAAACAGTTATTTAGTCAAATTTTGCCAGGAAACGTTTTAGAATTTTTATCACGTTAATGTAAAAAATCTTGTGTGATATAACTTGTGTTTGTTTGTTTGCTGGTTTTTATTGTATTTGTTATACTTGTATTTTTAAAATTGTTTTTGCCATGAAAATAGCCTTTGATGCTGACATGGCATTAAATAAATATATACTATACTATACTATTTATTTAATCACTTTACATTTTTATTATTTTATTTTATTTATTATTATTTACTTTTTTAAAACCACACAGTAAACCCAAAGTGCTGAACATAGCTAATAAAACAAACGAAAAT